GAGAGAGAGAGAGAGAGAGAGAGAGAATGAATTTTTTAATATTTATTTTTTAGTTTTCGGTGGACACAACATCTTTATTTTTATGTGGTGCTAAGGATCGAAGCAGCGCCCCGCGCGCATGCCAGGCGAGCGCGCTACCGCTTGAGCCATATCCCCAGCCCTGGGTCTGTCTCCTTAACTAAAATAATACATTTGGTGTTGTGAAGATCAAAAAACGATAACACAGTGACTGACACACAATTAAGTGCTCTATAAATATCAACTATTTGTCTGGCAGTGGCAATAGTGCCTATTTTTTTTTTTACGTGTGTGTTTAGTGCATTAGTGGACATGAATTCATACACTAATAATGGTATTTGTGAGCCTCAATTTCTCCATACCTAAATCGGGATTTATAATCCCTGTCCCTGTCACTCTTGTGTCCAATTCCGGTAGCAACCGTGGATTCAACAGGGTGTGTAAACTTTCCAGGACAGAGCGGTACTAGCTCAATGTTTATTCAGCCCAGAGCAATTCCTCTCCAAGTCCGACTCTTTGCAGAAGTTCACGTCAGCTTCACCGACTTCCCCTCACTTGCTGGTGCTCCCCCCTGAACCGGGGAGAGAGCTGAGGAAAAATGGGGTGGGAAAATAGACAATGTGTCGGAACGAGATACACACAGATCAGGGAAATTGGGCATAGTATGCAGGAGAAAGGATACAGGAGCAGTGGGAGGGGTAAATGCGCTGGGAGAAAGCCGGGAGAGGAGGATTCCCCAGGAAGGAATGGGGATCGCCTTCATTGAGAGGTCTGCAAGTGGCCGGGAGTAGAGATTTAACCCTCTGGCATTCCCCTCTCCAGGCGGCACCCGGAGACTCTAAGTGCGGCTTCAGAACTGGAGTCACTAGCCAACAAACCGTGGAGGGGCGGGGAGTGGGGAATCCGCAGCCTGGGATTGGATACCTCTTCGGCGGCCAGTGACGCGCGGCGGGCGGGCCCCTTTGTGATGTCACGATCAGCTGTTTGGACGTTCCAATTTGTGCCGTGAGCCCCGCCGCAGCGGCTGCACAGACTCAAAGCCCCGCGGGTGAGCGCAGCAGCTCCGAGCACCCCACCGCTATCCCCGCGCCTCCCCATCCAGTCCCCGCGATGCGGCCGGGTCTGTGAACAGCCTGCTACCCTGGGACGCCCCGCTGTACAACTACCTCAGCATCACCCCGCCTGCCGCGTCGCTCCGGGTCCCAGGTGAGTCCCCGCCAGCTTGGGCCCCCGGGCTCCCTGAGCCCGGGGACACGCCCTGCGCCCCCTGTGTCGGGGCCTTTGTCTATCTCCGCGGCCGGCCGCTGGGGCTGCGTTCCGGGCTCCCTATTGGTTGCCGCGCGCCGGTAGACCTTGACGTCGCACTATTTGCATATGACATTGAGACGTCACCAAGGCCAGCACCGCCCCCCAGGCTCGGGTCGCTTGTCCTCCCGTGACCCGGTGGGCGCCGTGTTGGGCGGGACCAAGGGTGAGAGACGCTGAAAGGCTAGCGGGGCCCTAGAGGGCTCTGCGGTTTCCTGGGCTAATCTCGGGGTTGGGGTCAAGGCTCTAATACCCTTTCTCCTTGCGACTTGAGGTCTGACGACACAACCAAGTTCAGGTCAGGGGATCAAGGAGGCCTTCCTATTCCAGGTCTTTTGGAATAGCAACAGATGGTGGAGGAATCCCCTCTCTTGCTCTAGGCTCCGCCCCCTGGGGACTAACACAATAACATCCTCCTAATCCCTGACATGTGTGCAGCGCCTTAGTTGATGTCATTCCTAGCCTCCACATGAGGTGTCTTAGACCCCATTTCAGAGAAGGAAGCACTGAGACCCAGAGAAGGGAGGTAGCTTACTCGAGGACACAGTCAACTAACTAGTCATGTTAATTGAGTGACAGATGAATGGCATTAGTGCCAGGCATGTACAGAGTTAGGAGTTCAATAAAAGTTACACATCCTTCTCCCCTGAGTAGCGTGTCTTGGACTCAGCACCATCCCAATTAGATTTCTTCATTCTTTAACCTTATTCTAGGAGATCTTTGGGGATCTAGGTCCCCTTTGGTTGCCCTGACCCCTCTGCTCTCTTCCTTCCAATCCAATAAAATCTCTGCTAACTTTTGATCACAGAAAAGTGAGCTATCAACTGTCTCATGGTATCTCCAGGGCTGATTTGGTTAAGATAGATTGGGAGATGAGAGTTCCCTCTATGATTGCTCACCACCTCCCCAACTCTGGCTTGTCAGCTAGGAGGGTATGTGACCTGGCCTAGTACTAGTGATTATATAAGGTTGTACTGTCCCCTCTCCTTGCTCAGATAAGGGTAGGGGAAAGGGGATGAGAGATTCTGGACTTTCCAAGTGCATGGGTCTAGAGGCTGGACCTGGAGCCCCATCCCAGGCTGGAGTTTGCTCAGGAATGGGCTGGACTAGAGGTAGTTAGGCCTCAAATGCTATTCTGGGCACAGCTGCTGTAGTTATTAAAGGGAATGGCTCTTCCTGGAGCAGAGCTGGGAATTTGAGAACCAGGAAGTTGGCAGGGCTGGGAAAGAAATTCAAGAGGCTCCCCCAGTGATCAAGAGAAGGGGTGGGCACTGGCTGTCTGGTGCTGCTTGTCACTCACACTTTGTGACCTCTGAGCCTCTCTTACCTCAATCTGTTTGTAACTGAGGAGGTCTGCTGCAGGTTCTGGTACATAGTGAATGCTCTGGTAAAGGCATGCTGAATCCTGAAGCCAGGATCTTCTGTGGCTGGACAGAGGGGCAGTGACTGGATCAAGGTCCCTGTCTGACCTCTCTGCCTCCTATGCATCTTTATATTCTTGGAGATTATCTGTTGAGACTTCCTGACTTTGGACTGAATGCTCCCCCACTATCTAGCTGTGTGTTTTGGATGCATTTATAGTCTCCCTCTGAACCCCAGATTGTAAAATGAGCCAAGAGCAGATCTATAGTCACTACTTTGTTGTCTCTATTTCTGCAAGAGGGGATTTCTTTCACATCTTCACCCAGGCTAAGAGCTTGGGTCCTGGTCCAACTTTCAGTGTTCATTCTAAGGGGTCCTGGGATTTGATAGGTCCCACCCTCTGTCATCACCTTCTACAGACCTGCTGCCTCATTGGAGCAAGCAACCTGATCTTCCTCCTAGTCAAGGATGCTGCCCTTGAGCAGGAGCCTGGGAAAAGGAGGTTAGAGTGGGTAGGGCCTGTGGGCATAGAATCTTCACACCTCATCTGACAGACACATCTGAGGCTTGCCCAATAACATGGCAGGATGGTAGCAGTTCTGTGGCATTTCTGCTAGCTAGAACTTTTCAAATTGCACAGTCTCCTTAGTCTCTAGGATCAAAGATGCTGTTGAGGAAATGATGAAAACCAAGACTCCCTGTTTTTTTCCTCAGAAAAATACCCAGAGACCATGACCCCAGTCACCAAGTTAAAAATACTTAATCCAGAAAGACACCCAGCAAAGGCAGTGGGCTCTAGTGATCATGGGTACTGCATGGATTCAAATCCCACCTTTTACTAGCTATAATACTTTGGGCAAGTTGAGTTACTTCTCTAAGCCTCACCTTCTATTTTCTTTACATGTGAAATAAGAGTAATTATGCCCACTTTCCACATTTTGGTATAAGGATTGCAAGAGGTAATATAGATGAAGCTGTTTAGTATTGTGCCTGGTACATGAATGTTATATTATTATGATGATAATAAACAATCACAATATGGGGAATTTGTTCCATGCCTGGAGAATTTCTGTTTACTCTTCAAGGACCAGATTGGATGTGTGATCCTCTGGAGAATTTCCCTGACAGAGCCTGTAATACATATCATATCACTCCATATCCCTAAAGCACCTTGTGATAACAATGAGTTTGTTAGTTTATTGAGTGCTTACTATGTGCCCAGAATTGTTTTAAGCACTTTATAAATGTTTAGCTCTTTGTGTGTGTGTGTGGGGGGTTATTGGGGACTGAACCAGAACCAATAAGCTACATCGTCAGCCTTTAAAAAAAACCTTTTTTTTTTTCTTTTTAAAGAGAAAGAGAGAGAGGGGGACAGAGAGAGAGAGAGAATTTTAACATTTATTTATTTTTTCTTAGTTCTCGGCGGACACAACATCTTCGTTTGTATGTAGTGCTGAGGATTGAACCCGGGCCACACGCATACTAGGCGAGTGCGCTACAGCTTGAGCCACATTCCCAGCCCAACCTTTTTTTTTCTGTTGTAGATGGTCACAATACCTTTATTTTGTTTATTTTTATGTGGTGCTGAGGATTGATCCCGGTGCCTCACATGCTAGCACCTTTGAGCTACAAGCCCAGCCCTCATCTCCAGCGTTTTTATTTTTTTGTTTTGAGACAGGATCTTGCTAAGTTGCTGAGGCTGGCCTAGAACTTGCAATCTTCCTGCCTTATCTTCCCAAATTGCTGGATTTAGATGTGGGCCATTATGCTGCATTTAGCTTATTTAATTCTCATTAAAGTCCAGAGGAGGGTACAATGATGTTCTTTTTTTTTTTTGGCAGAGGTGGAGACTGAACCTAGGACTTCAAGCATGTTAAGCTTATTTCTGCCACTGAGCTACACACCAGCCCAGTTCGTTTAATTTTTATAAAGGCTAAGAAAAAAGGGATATCATTGTTATTTGATAAATCAGAAAACTAAGGCACAAATAAATATTCTAAATTCATAACAAAAGACTTTCAGAAAAGCCTGGACTTGAGTGCAGAAAGCTCACACCTCAAAAGCTTCCCCACACATCTCACCTGTACTCTTATCGCTGCTCTGGGTAATAGGGGTGATACCAGGCGGCGGATTTCAGTCAGTGACTGACTTCTCTTTATGAACCCCAGGTTTTGCACTGCCATAGGGCGCCTCCTTGAGGCCGCTTCACTGCCCTACAATGTTCCAGCGCCTCACCAGCCTCTTCTTCAGTACTCCCTCCCCCCCAGAAGACTCCGACTGTCCCCACGCCTTTGTCTCGCAGGAAGATGAAGTGGACGGTTGGCTTATCATTGACCTGCCGGGTGAGACTTGAGTCGGGGGCCACAAGTCAAACTCCTGAGCCTGTGAAGTCATTGGAAAGGGCCGACGGTTCAGCAGTGGAGGGGAAAGGAGTTGTTTGGGGATTTGAGAGTTCCCCCAAACCTACTGGTCAAACGAGCTGAGGCAGTGGCCTTGGAGGCGGGGTAACATGGTCCCTTACCCTGCAAGCCTGAGCTGTCTCCAGGCGGCTCAGTGTCGGGGCCACACATCAGGGTAGCAGGGCGAGCCTCTTGGTCTGAGGGTATTCCGTGGACATGGCGGGCAGGGCTGCGGGTCTGACTAACGTTGCCCTTTCTCTCCCCGCCCCTTGTGTCCGGTGTGTGTGTGTGTGTGTGTGTGTGTCTGTCCCCCTTCTCCCTGCTGTTTTCCCTCCTCCGCATGGCTCCCTCTCCCGCGCCCCGTAGACAGCTACGAGGCTCCCCCCAGCCCTGGGGCCGCCTCTGCCCCCGCGGGTCGCCCTCCGCCCGCGCCCTCCTTGATGGACGAGAGCTGGTTTGTTACCCCTCCCGCCTGTTTTACTGCAGAGGGGCCCGGCCTCGGGCCCACCCGCCTCCAGAGCAGCCCCCTGGAGGACCTCCTCATCGAGCACCCCAGTATGTCCGTTTACGTCACCGGCAGCACCATAGTGCTGGAGCCTGGGCCCCCTTCCCCGAACCCAGACGCTGCCCTGCCGGATGGTGACCTCGGAGAAGGGTGAGCGGAAGGCGGAGCCTGGAGCCTAGGGGTCTTGTTTGAGGCTTCGGGAGTGAGGCGTGTGTCGAGACAAGGGGCGGGGCCTATGGGCTGGGCTTTCAGATGGGAGGTGTGGCCTCGCGGCTGGGCGGAGTTTAGGAGCGACGTGGCTGAGATTCTTGGGCTGGGTTGAGAGGCTTGGGCCGGGTTTGAATCCTTGAGGGTGGGAGGCCTTGGGGCCGAGGGGGTGGGGCTGCTGGGGGCAATACAGATTGGGGCAGACACCTCAGTGCGCCAAGAAAAGGGAACTGGGGACAGCGGAGCGAGATGCCAGTCCCCCAACCCCTCCATGTGCCACTCTGACCGTGACCCGCTTTGTCCCTGCAGAGAGTTGGCACCCGCCCGCCGCGAGCCCCGGGTCCTGCACCACGCCGCGGCTCCTCTGCCCGCGCGGGCGGTGCTGCTGGAGAAGGCTGGCCAGGTACGACGACTGCAGCGGGCCCGGCAGCGGGCTGAGCGCCCTGCGCTGAGCGCCAAGGCAGTGCAACGGCAGAACCGCGCCCGTGAGAGCCGTCCGCGCCGGCCTAAGCACCAGGGTAGCTTCATCTACCAGCCTTGCCAGCGCCAGTTCAACTACTGAGTGT